GTCTGGTTGATTTTGATTAGGCATCATAACATATTCAACCATCGAATTGTTTGTGACCAACTGCCCCAAGTTAACTTCTCTAACACTCCTAAATTTCAATCTAAATGAGGCAATGGCCCGAATCATTTTTAAGGTATGGCTCTTCTTCCTTTATTTCTTCTCACTTCATTTAGTACATGTACCCCCAAAAAAAATTATGTTGGGATTTTTTGCAGGGTTTTCATAAACTTAAGTATATCAATCTCTCCAACACAGTTGGATTCGATGGAAGCTTTTTGAGGTTCATGTGGTTTAATACACAATGAAATGATATATCATCTTGGTTTATATTAGAAAGATCTCTGACGTAAAATTTTGATGGTAGGGTTTTGGGACATAGATGCAACGACAGTCCTCTCGAGACACTAATACTGCGTAATTGTTTTTCTCTCCAAGAGGTTAGCAAATTTTGTTAGTGGCATATGTCATTCTTAATGTAACACTCATGAGCCTTAACTATTGAATCTCAAATATATTCAGAGCGAAGTATTGAAGTTTTTGAATTCACTAATCGCGGGGAACTTCATATCCATTCAATACATTGTAAGTTCTATAGCAACCATTGGAACAACGCAAATCTGCTAAACAAGATGCATTTAAATTTACTCATAAGTCATAAATATATCCCATTATTGCGTCTTTATCTTTCCCTCTAATAGGATGTATCAAGCAACAAAGGTTTAGCTTGTGATGGTGAAAGAAGAACTTCCAAACCAAAGTACGTATAACTAAACATTTCATTTACTAAACGTAGTAGTCATGTAATCGATTCTCTCCATGATGGGTATTATTTTGTGTGTGGCCAATATTGTTATTGTTTGTGTGTGTGTATTTTGTAGCTTTCCTTTGGAAAAGCTGAAAGAAGAAAGATCAGATGTCACATTTGTTGCGGAATTTCCCTCAGAAACAAAAAGGTACCAATTGTTATTTATTAGACTTATTAAATTACGAGTAACTGAATACTATCACTAATGGATGGCTTTTTGGTAAACTTGTGGCACCAGATTGTTTTATTTTGGCAGCTTAACGGATGGCAACATTTTGGACGCCATTTATGGATCGGATAATTTAATTTAGTTAACTATTTGGAAAAAAACAAGATAAAACATTTTGATATCTCAATAATATGCATACTCTAAACTAATACGTGGGTTTGGCTAAATAGCCTGATATGACCGTGGTTGTTTTAGCACCATGAAAAATCATCTTCTTTTTTTCTGAATCTCTAGCTAGGGCCTGGTCTCTAATCTCAGAACAATATCTTGTGGTTCAAACCACTCTATGAGTCTATAAATATGCCCACTCATCAGTACTCCCATCTTCTTGTTGATTAAGGAGTGAAAGCTCCAGCTAGCTGGGTGATCATCTGCTTTAATAATGCTTCTCAAAGCAAAAGATGGTGTGCAAAGAAATAAAAAACGTCCGCAGGAGGCGATTTTCTAAGCGACTAGGGTTTTTTTTGTCGTTGGCTCCACGCAAGAAGGTTTTCAGGCGGTCAGCCGCCGGGTCTTTCCAGGATGGTGGACATTGTAGGAGAGGTGGCAGTGTCGGGTTCAAGCCAATCGAAGGAGGTTCCAAGTCCAAAATCGTATGCGAATGTTGTTGGTAGCAGACCTAGTCTTGCTAAATTTGATGTGAATGTTTCAACAGTTGATGGCAAGGCCACGGTGGCCGTACCGGATACAATTTTGGATGATTCTGTTCCCTTGTGGGAGGATTTCTTAATAGGTCGATTCCCAGGTACAGCTCCCCATGTAGCGAAGATCCATGTCATAGTTAATAAATTATGGAACTTGGGTGG